CCGATGTCTTACACGATGCATCAAAAACAACGCGTAATTTAGTCGTTGTGCTCGATTCTTTTAACACTGCGTGATGTGGAATGTAGTGGTACAATGTCTCATTCTGGACGTCGGAGCTGTTGACTTCTGTCATGTGGCCTAATGTGAGGTACTCATCTAAAAATGCCTTGTATTGCATTTTCAGTTCGGGTTGTCGATCCAATCTCCGGTTTAGTGCTCGTAAGCGTTTGACTGCCGTGCTACGGGATTCTCCCAACTGATCGATGTCTTGACGAAATGAAAGTCCAACAATAAATCGTCCATCTTGATCTCTACGATGCGTTGTCTTAAACTCCTCCTCGCATAGTTGTTCCTCTTGTGAATATTTCTTAGTTGGGGTATACTCCTCTATTCTCCAAAATTTCTCAACTTGTTCTTCGAGAGTCTTCTCAAAAGCTACTCCACATGATACTATCTCTGTGTCAGCGTGCTTCATCTTAGTTGGCAAAATGTTACCCGACACAATCCAACCTAGTTTAGTTTTCTGTAGTATTAATTGACCGCCTGACATGTGGAGTTGTCCCACGCACAACAGTCTCCAAAATACACCGGCTCCGAGAAGTATGTCGATTTTCCCCGGCTTGTGAAAAGACGTATCTGCTAGGACAATATTATCTGGAATTGTGATCTGCTGAATATCGATTCCGGACATTGGTAAGTTTTCGGTGATTTGATCCAGAATTAGAAACGAAAGATTTGATTTGAATTCATTCACTCGTGATTTAATCGTCGCGTGAACGGATTTCTTAACAGTAGAGCGGTTTAAATTGACGCCAGAGATCGAAACATCTGCCTCGTACTTTGTTAACTGTAGTTTGTCGCAAAACTGCGTCGTGATCAAATTCGACTGAGATCCCGAATCCAAAAGAGCTCTGCACACATGCGATCGACCTGACTTATCGTAAATTAGGACTAGTGCTGTAGACAGTAAGACTTGAGGTCTCTTCCTAGCCACGCATTGTGATAATGAAACTTGATCTGATTGATCCTTTGACTTATTATTACGAGTATCTGACTTGATGCTGCTCCCTTCACTAGGTGAAGATTCGCTCTGATTCTCGACACGCGGTCGGTCATAATGGATTAACGTGTTGTGCTTTTTACCACATCGCTTACATCCGCCCGCCAAGCATTTCTCAACCGAATGACTATCACGCAAACAGTTAAAACACAATTTGATTCGCTTTATCACGTTCACTCGCTCTTCGACAGACAATTCTTTGAATTTAGTGCAATTATAAATAGAATGATCGCCCTTACACGTTGGACAAGCCTTGGAAGTATCTTTAGTGCTCACGCATGAAGTAGTTTGTTCTGATTTCTTATCCTTCCGTTCGGCTTGCACTTTGTTAGTTGTAAGTTTCGCGGGCTGCAAGGTCTCCAATACTGAGCAATGTTGTGTCAGGAAATCTGTGAGTTGCTTAAATGTCGGAGGAGTATTTGTCGTGATACTTGATTCCCATTTACGCCTTGTGGCTGCATCTAATTTAGAACTTACTAAATAAATCATGAGACAGTCCCATTGATCAGTTGGTTGACCAAGTGTTTTGAGCGCTCGTAAATGTTTAAGGATATCGTCTACGAGTTTACGAAGCTGTGAAGCTGATTCCTTTGGAATCGAGGTTATGTCAAAGAGCGAATGTACGTGATGGTGTAACATCAGACGTTTGTTCTCAAATCTCGTCTTTAACAATTCCCATGCTTCGTGATAATTATCCGCCGTGGTTTCTAGGGAGTTTATTACTTGAGCAGCGACTCCTTGAAGCGAAGAGCGCAAATAATAAAATTTCTGAATATCTGACAAGGTATTGCACTCATCGATGAGCGCTTGAAATGAATCTCAGAATGACAGCCACTGCGAATAATTGCCATCGAACTTAGGGAGATTGAGCTGCGGCAATTTTATGCTGGATGTCGCAACTCCCTCTGGTTCGTCGACTGCTGGAGTCCTGAGTGGTCTCGAAGCTCCTGGTGTGCCGCGTGGTGTCGTTGGCGCAAGGAGCCGTTTGGCCAACGCCATCGAATGATAATATGTAGTTTCGAACTCGGATCGTTCCCTTTTTTGTTCTTCCGATTGATTAGGATCCTCATCCTCTGCCTGAATATCCTCTATTTTAGCTTGAGTAATCTCGAATTGATCCCATAAACCACGGAGCTTTTGTTCTCTTACTGCGATCTCCTCAGGGTCCGCGCTCTCAATGGTAAGATCTGTGAAGTAATTGTGAATGCGAGTTACCTGACCTTTAACGATTCCCCTCTCTTTGTTTAGTGAGGTTAATCGTGATGCATCGCTTCCCTTTTGAGTTGGGATTGTTATGTGGAAATCAAAGTAATTCTATGTAATATGACAATACAGACCAAATAAATCCAGACCGCAGATCCGACACTGCGTCGACCTGCTGCTATGCGTGAAAACTGTTGTCTAAATAACAAGACTGAGACGTCGTAATCTCTTATCTCGATGGGTGTTGCACACAAGAGGGTGCGATACGATGTATTGTCTTCGTCTGTGAAATTGACCGGACTTGTGGAAGTTTCCTTAACCTCGCACACTCGTGAATCCGACAGATCTTCGGGCTGTGTTCAGCGACCGATTCACCTTTCCTGCGCACAAGCGGCCACACTGTCGCTTGGATGCGCATCGGCTACAAGATGGTGTCCGGAATTCCTTCGACGTTCACTTCTCGAATCTTCGCTGTATGTGTAATGCGTTGCCGCGATCTATGCTTCTGGCCCTTGCACCAATGCAATAGATAACCTCTAACAATGATTATCAATGATAATTTGTCGTGAACTTCCCGAAATTCGCGGGAATTGAGCTCTCGCGTCACTGATTCCTGGTAATGCGACGATCTGCGATGTGCACTGAGATCGGTTAATTTTACGTGGCCCAGGAATTTCCCAATGCTGAGCCCGTATCCGGCTCGAAGGACCAAAATGTTGCCACACGGGACTATTGGGTTGATCCGGGAAGTAATAATCTATGATTTTGACTGCACAATGCTCTTTATTTGACGAGCTCACAAACGAAACGAATTAGCTGTTTCCACCTCTCAACTATACTCTCGCCATCTTGTCTTCACCATCCCTACTTCCTCTCTACACCACCTTACACTTTAGTGTTGATGGCGCATCGAACACAGGGTGAGTCAAATGTATGGAAACCTTCGGATAACTCGTCTGGATTGAATTTTTTTGAAAAATGGTAAATACAAAAGTTTTAGGATTTTTCCCTGGCTATCCGATGGTGACCTTGAATTTGACCTTGACCTTGACCTTCAAGGTCATTTCAAGGTCAACTTGTTTTTTTTAAATTGGAACCCCTATTTTTCATTAT